TAAATAGAAGTAAAATTGAAAAATGAAGATTAATAACCCTACAATACAAGTTACTTATGTGTAGTATGTGTACTCGAGAATGTGGTGAACATTGCAGTAAAATATAATTGTTGTCAGCAAAATGTGGATAAAAAACAAGGGGATGATTTGGCCACCCAAAAAAAAAAAAAAGATAGGGGGATGATATTCTATATGATTTTTTTTTTTTGCCAGAATATGCAAGTTGATTAATAATTAGAAAATTATTTAGAAAAATGTTGCTGGATGGTTGATGATCCTAAAATACAAGAAATATTAAATGCCTAAATTTTGATGACAATCCATTCTCTCTTTGTTGGGGATGGAGTAAAACAGTTTTATCAATTTAAATTTGGAATTATGACTTCGCTGCGTAAAGTTTGTAGGAAAATTTGATAATCTTTAATTTTTTTTATTTTCCGTTTTTATGTTAAAGATGTAATTGATAAAAAACGTCTTCATTTTTAAATAAATCATATGTTATTTATTCATTATTAAAATAATCTCATCAGTGTTTTGCATAGAAAATGAGAAAAAAAAGTGATAAAAAAATAAAGGTTAAAAGTAATCTTGTATTTATACTTTAATAACAATAACATTTTTTTTTTCATGTGTTGCATGAAAGTTTTTTGACAAGTCACATTATTTATAATTTTTTAGTAATTTAGTTTGTTATAAAATTTAAGATAATGAATATTATAGAAAAAAATTGAATAGCTTTCTTTTACGCACACAGTTTGTGAGAGCTTTAGCTAAGTTCACGTTGGTCTACAAAGTGATGCTTTATTCAACTTTGAAGTCAAGTGATTCCTTCTCTTCACTGTTTTTATGTATCTTTAGATGTATTTCTCTACACTGACTTGAAAATAAAGTTTATTGTTTTAAATTGTATATCATACTCCTTCCGGTCCTAAATATAATACTTATTTTATACTAATAAGTCTTTTCTTTAGGACCAGAGGAATATGTTAATTTGAAATTTTCTACACAGGCTTAACTCGCCCTCAAGCGAAGAGTGAAAAATATAAGGGAGAATTAATATGCGGGTCCTTATTCTTTTTGTTAGTTTTTAATTAGGTCCTTATAATTCTTTTTTCATTTTATTGAATCCTTATTATTTTAAACGTTAAAGGCGTTAGTCCTTCTGTCTAAAATCTGTCAGACTAAGTTAGAGCATCGCTGTAAGAAGTTGATGTGGCTTCTAGTTGGATCAAACATGGTAAGATTGACTTGGAGTGAAGCCATATTTGTTGGTGTCTTTATTTTATTTAAAAAAAAGTAGAAGAGATGAGCGTTGAGGACGAGCTTTGGTGCAAGAGTTTTGTCCTTGGAGTGAATAAAACAGTAACAAGCTTTCAAAATGACATTGCTCATAGTCTCTAAGTCTAACAATCAGGTGAGAGAAATTGCTTCTATCCGTTGAGTATCTGAGCTTCGTCCATTAGGAATTATTTGTAGTTTACTGGTTATATTCTGGGTATATATTAAAACCCGGCACGATGTAGATTAAGTTGAGTAAGGTGATATTAAGGTATTTGAAGATAGTGAATTAGTGATTAAGGAGAGTTGGGTGATGATTATTCTCATGTATTGATGTCGATATATGAAACATTCAAGAAGAATTTTTCAAGCCGAATAATGTCTTTGCGGTTGTGAACAAGGCTCTATCAATTCATTTATAATGGAAACAAGGAAAAAGTAGACTGTTGCTATGTTTTCCTGTGTTTTAGGTCTGAAAAATAGAGGTAAACAAAATAATATAGTAACTACTTAGTTCATGCATTGGCATATAAGAAATAGAGTTAAAAAGCTCAATAGCAATAGTATGTCTTGTGTCTCATGGCTGCGGTTATGATTCACAGCCCTTCCATCACTCCCCATCTCCTTCAACAATAAAAAAATACAGCATTATATATAATGAATTAAATTTTTTAGATTTCATATTTAATGCATAAAAAGGGGAAAAAGATGCTACTAATTTGCCAAACATAAATATGGAGTAGGAGCCTTTCTACTAGGCGGTGGTGGTACCATTACTATCTAGCCAGGGTATTTGCTTAATCTCAGAATAATAACGTGACTACAAGTTGCATCTTTAACTTGAGAATTTAGTACCTAATAAAAGGAAAGTCCGGTCATGTCCTACATGGATTCACTTAAACGGTGCTATAATAGTTTTAACGTTCAGGGATGGATGACCTAAACGGTGGAAACAAGAAGGAGTTCATAAAAAGAAAAAAAGTTGAAGGATCTGATTAAAAATGGAAGGAAAGTATAAGGATCAGCGTATTAGTTTTCCCAAAATATAATATAAAATAATGAGTACCATTATATTGCATCATTCATAAATCTTGAAGAGTGTTATCTCCGGCCATTAATATAATAACTAATTTGACTTTCAATTTGATCTTAAATATAAGATCTCAATTTACTTTAAGAAGAGTAATATTTACCTTAGATTTGTGATCAACTTTACTTAAATTAGTTATGGAATTAGTTAAAATTAATTAATACTTTCAAATTTTTGAAATTATTCTCCATAAAATTTTAATTAGAGGATGTTGTTTAATTGGTTGGAAGGTTGCTCAGTTGATCAAGAGATGCAAAAACAAGACATAAAAAAACTAACACTACTTTTGGTTTTTAATATAAAAATAATAATGATTAATAAGAATAGTTTAGGAAAGATAACATCTATTTACAACAAATAATTGATTCAACTAACTTTTTTAATCTCTCCAAAATAGTTAACTAAATCTTATATTAAAGATCTAAGGTAGTATTTTAGATAAAAAGTTATATATATACACATAAACTAATTTTAATGATATTTTTCCCTTAAACATATATTGTATCATAGATTTAAAAACCTTACAATCATTCATTCCAAAATTAATGTTTTAGTTTAATTAATTAAAAAAATCATAAATTTAAAGTTAGAAACACTCTTTGCTGACCCTTAGGTTCCCAGAAGTTAAGACGAAAATTTTGACCACGTGCTGATATTCATTAAAATTAGAGCGTCATCATCTATATTATTAATTCTGTATTGGAGGTCATATACTATTTTTGTCTCAGGCGTGTTTGTATTAATATTTCTTATAAATATACTATATTTTAAAGCTAATATTTTTATGTCTTTAACTTGTTTTCTGCCGGCTAACTTTATCTTGTTATATATGTTTGTCTGTCTCTTAAGGATTAAAATATACTATTCGTGGTCTAAATACACTACTTCTCTAGTTTTTAATATGAGAGCTAATTTGAGAGTTAATATTAGTTCTATTTGTGAGACCTATTTTTCATGGTTATCAATTTTTTTTCAAACTATTAATATTCTTTCAATAATAATCAAGTAAGAGAAGGAAAGAAAAAAAATTAAGAAATATGACTAGGATATTTAAAAAAAAACTAATTTAACTAATAGAGGAATAAATTTTAAAAAGTTGTGACTTAATTGTTTTTAATTAGAGGGATATGCATGCTTGACGAGAGTGAATTCACAATTTCTCCGTCCCTATTGGAGAGTTCTTGTACTACTTGGCTACAAGAGAAGCGTCTACATTTAGTGCTCATCAGGCGATGAGCACCTGGTGCTCATCAGGCGATGAGCACCTGGTGCTCATCTCCTTATGAGCAATTTGGGCCGTCTAGATTTAATATTTTTAAATAATTATTTAAAAATAGAAAAAATTATATTTTTAAAGAATAATAATTAAAAGATTATCTTTATTTTTTATCCTATACCCATTAAAATAATTATTTTAAAAAATTAAAATTAAAATTAAATCTGGACCGTCCAGATCCAGATCTAATGAGTATTGGGTGCTCATCAAAACTGATGAGCATCCAATGCAAATCCGAACATTGTCGAGACGTTGCTTTATTCAAAACTCTTAAACCGACGTAAAGCAACAAACAAATAACAACACAACCTTATTCTACAGGAGGCTCTATCAACGACCAAATGTAATAATATAATTTTAATCGAAAGATTTTGTTCAGTAATGTTATTGAATGTTCTCTTTGGCTTCTCTCTTTCCCTTTCAGATATTTCATACTATATCGGTTTTACTCACCGATGCATCCAAACTGACATAAACTTGGTGAATATATATTTCAAGCTAAAATAAAAATAATGTTCATACTTTTTAGTTCTATCTTTTAAAATAATAAAAATATCAATTATTAAAAAAATAAATTTAGAGAAATAGTCCATAAAAAAGTTATTTCTAATCTCTCCTAAACGAACAGTAAGCTGCATGCATTCTGGACTTCTCCAAAAAGTCGCATCCTTTGTCTTATGGATCAATTAGTTCACAAATAGCTAAATAAGGATATTTTCAGAACATAAAATACATTTTTTGCATAATTATTATTTTTAAGTAATTTATTAGTCTATATAGTTTGGTTGCTTATATATATATATATATATATATATATATATAACATTGCTAGATCGATGAGAGCAATATAAAAAGACTAAAATTTGTGATCTATATTAAAATGAGTTACTAATTTTATTTTTCAAAGATTAACTTTGAGGTTTGTACTGTTCTTGAAGTCTAATTCATCTAATTTTTTTTGCTTAAAAAAACAAGACATCAATAATTTATCTAACGAGGTTTTCAAACTTTGACTAGCTAGTGTTGCTTCTGTCATACTGCTTACACAGCAAAACAACTTATCACGCTGCAGTTTAATTATTAATATATTTAACATCATACACATAAAGAAGCCATTTATAGCATACTCATAATTAAGCCTTTTATACTCAGAAATAAATAATATTTGTTTGAATTAGCCAATCACACGCGACGACTACAACTCCAAATTAACAAATGAAGTTTCATGGAAACAACAAACACAACAATTAAATAATATCATCACTTTAAACAAAAGTCATTATATATATGCATATATATATATATATCCACACACATACAAACATAAATGCGCGCGCGCGCGCACACACACAAGCCATGTTTTTCACAGATCCTGTGCTTCTACACTATCACCAGACTCAGCTTCCCAAAATGATCCCTAATCATTCTACTTTTCAATCAGTTCAACAAGTTCTCACGAATGGCTTCTTCACCGGCGATGACACTACATTGAATCTTGACCGTGACATGGCTTTGCCAGAGCAGGGTGTTATCAGCTCCACTGGTGCAGTGTTTCCCGGCGAGGATGACAACGCTGTGAAACCAGGTGGTGGTGATGACAGAGTAAATGGTAATAACGACGCAGTATCTGTGGCGCGTGAGGGGAACGGGCCGCCAAGACGGAGGAATTACCGAGGCGTGAGGTGGCGGCCTTGGGGGAAGTTTGCGGCTGAGATCCGGAACCCAAAGAGAAACGGTGCGAGGACATGGTTGGGAACTTATAAGAAGAAAGAGGATGCGGCTCTGGCTTATGATAGAGCCGCTTTCAAGATGAGAGGCAGAAAAGCCAAGGTCAATTTTCCACACCTCATAGGATAGGAACCGTTACCGGAGCCGGCGCAAGTGCTGGCTGGACAGAAGCAGCACCGCTCGCCGGAACCTTCATTGCAGTCAAATACTAATGGAACCCAAGGATCGAGTAAGAAAAAGAGCCTAAATGTTCTATTGCACCAGTTGGCAACAAATAGAAGCCATGTCAGATTGGGTTAAATATCGTATTTAAAGCATATTTGAGCTTTTTTTTTTGGGCTCGATCTAACCCCATTGTTTGTTGCATATTATTTTAATAGTAGGTAATTAATTAAGTTTAAGAATTTTTTTTCTTTATATAATTAAAGTAAGAGCAAATTACTAAATTTTCATTTATCTGTCGGAGCCTACAGGTATCAAGTTTTTTGGCACATACACTAATGTCAAACGGCGGTGGATATATAGTTGGTTGCTTACATATGTTGTCTTTTATTTTACAAAGGGAATTTATTCCATAATATATGTGGTAATATCAAAATAAGATGTTTTATAATAGATTAAATGCAACATAATTTGATTGATTGACCCTGGATAAAACACATGATTGAGAATAAATGGATTAATTATTTTATGCACATCATGACGCTGTCTTGATTTTTAAAAAAAAATTAGAAAATTATTATACTATTATATAGCTTTTGTGACCACAACCTTGAGGTTTGGGTTTGAAGCCTGTAAATAATACTATTGAATACCAATCATATGAGTTTAAATTCTAAATATGCACAAACTTTTATGAGACTTTAATTAATTAATTAATTTAATAAAATCGTGATTAAATGATCAAATTAAATTCTCCCACTATAAGCACCCAAAGATTGTTTTAAGTTAATTTCATATTATAACTCAAACACAATAATGCAAAATTCAAATGATTGTATAATTGCCTAAAACTGATTTTTTCAAATATTTAGACAATTAAATAATGTACAGAACAAATACTGAAAAATGTTTCAGTATGTTAAAATACCCAAAATTAATTTTTCAGAATTTAAACAATGAAGTCAGCGCATAAAAATAAATACGCATTCAAACATGTGATTAAATAAACCATGCAGGGGATAAGACACAATTAAACCCAACTGCTTCATCAAGTATTTAATTTTTGGAAATCCAGAAAATTGTCAAGAAATTAAAAATTAAAGAACAAAATAACAATAAAGAGCCTTTGTTTTTTGGGGAAAAAATTAAATAGTTTAAGCAAAATCAAATCAAATATGAATAGAAAGGAAACCATATTAAGCGCTAGTTTTTAGAGCATAACTTTTGAAGAAAAGTGATAAAAAATTATTTTGGGAATAAATTTTAGAACAATCAATTTTGTGAAAAAATTGACTTTGATAAAATGAGAATATTTAGATGTTAAGTATTAGAATCACTTTTTTACAAAAATTAATGTGATTACATAAAAGACAAATTTTAATTTATATTTTTCTTTAAAATAATAAATTAGTAAATAATATATTTTTTACTAACATATTAAATAATATATAAAAATATAACTAATTAATAATTAATATGTGTGTATTTATAAAATGTAGGATTAAATATATTTTAGAAAAATATAATCTATCACAAAGATTTTAAATATTAAGTGCCGCAATATTTAAAAATAAATAAATAAATATATGTAAGACCAACTTATTATTATTTAATAATTAATAATAATATGTCTGTGCATATATATAAAATATAATATTAAATATATTTTACAAAATTAATAATTTTATTTTAAATATTTTTTTATCGAAAATCATGGTTCAACATGTCAAAAGCATAAAAATTTTGTTTTTAAAAATCATGGTTTTCAGTGAAAAATTGAGATTTTGCCAAAAAAAATCATGTGTTGGATGATGGGACCCCGAAACCATGATTTTGAAGCTAAAACTGTTTTTTTTTTTTTTAAGACGCTAACACAAAGTTATCTACACAAAAGCACTAAAACCCATTTGATGAAAAAATATTCACTAAAACCTAACATTAGAGACAAAAAAAAAAAAAAAAAGACAAAATGAGTAGAAAGAAGCCATGTTAAGAAATGATAGATAGAAACATTTTTGACACGCAATGAACAACAAGTTTTTTGAACAATAGGAATGAAGAATGGGAAGATATAAAGTTATTTGGATGAATCCAACAAGAAGAATCCATATATATATATATATATATATATAAAGAAACAAAGTTAATATTAGGCTGAAATCAATAGAAAGAAAAGAAAAAGGTTAAAAGGACAACAAGAATTCACTACGAGAATCGATAACTTTCAAAGAATGTGAATGAAATCAAGCAAAATCAAACTTGAATAGAAATAAGGCATTGTCAAACATTAATTACACAAAATCACTAAAGCCTAACGTTAGAGACAAAAACACACAGAGGAAGTGAATAGAAACTGAAGCCACATTAAGTGATAAAGAATGTTCTTTTTTTTTAAAAAAAAAACATGATGAATAGATAGTTCTTTAAACATGAAGGATCGGAAAAAAATGAATTTATTAGGACAAATTCAACCAAAAAAAATCATATATACGAAATACCAAGGGCGAAGTCAACATAAGGCTTTTTTGCTCTTCTTATCTGAGGATTACTAATATTATGAGGTTCTTTTTTTTCCCCTCAATTTTCAATCCTTCAAATTCTAATATGGTATCAGAGCCAAGTTCTTTCATATATTTACTAATATTTTTTAAAATTTGTTTATCCATTGAAACATGATTTTATTTTTCTTTATTGAAGGAAGTGGTAGATACTAATAAGGGGAAATTAGAGAACAGAGACAATAACACACGGAAGAAAAAAAATAGAAAATGAAGCCACATTAAGTGATAAAGAGAATGTTCTTTTTAAAAAAACGATGAATAGATAGTTCTTTGAACATGAAGGATCAGAAGAAATGAATTTATTAGGACAAATTCAACAAAAAGAATTCATACATACCAAATATCAAGGACGAAGTCAATATAAAGGCTTATTTGTGCTCTTTTATTTGATGATTATACTAATATTATGATGTTCTTAGTTTTCAATCTTTAAATTCTAACATGGTATCAAAGCTAAATTCTTCCATACTTTTATGAATATTCTCATGTTTTTATTTTTTTAAATTTGTTTATCCATTGAGACACGTGACTTTATTTTTCTTTATTGAAGTGGTAGATAATAACAAGAGAAAGTTATAAATGATATTGAGCTCACAACCTCCTAGTTAAGCGGATAATTTATTCTCCTCAACTTTCAATCTTTCAAATTTTAAGATGGTATCAGTGCCAAGTTCTTCCATATTTTTAATAATATTCTCATATCTTTATTTTTTAAAATTTATTTGTCCCTTATGAGATGCGACTTTATTTTTCTTTATTGAATGGGTAGACCATAACAAGAAGAAGTTATAAGCGATACTAAACTTACGACCTCCTAGTTAAGGGAAGCGTTTATACTACCAAACTACTCTACAATTAATACTATGTGATTTTGTTCTAAACTATTCAATGTAATCATATAAAAATGGAATTAATTCTATATTTTGAGTTAAAATAGAAATAATTTTTTTAAAAAATATTGTGATAAAAGTAGTATGAGTCAATTACTACATGAGATGTTAGTCTTATTCAAATATTTTTTTTAGATATTTATATATAATTCGGTTATTTGTTTCTTATATATAACATTACCATATTGGAGAGAGAAACATAAAAGACTAAAATTTAAAATGTATTAAAATGAGTTACTAACTTTATTGGTAAAAGATTAACTTTGAAGTTTGTCTTGGTCTTAAAGAGTCTAATTTATCCTTTTTTGTTAAAAATAAGGCATGAATATGCGTTCAATTTTTGAATAATCACGTTTTTAACTAATTTTTTATCTAGGTAATTCTGTTAGTTACGAATTTCATATTTCTATCTTGTCTCTATATTAATATTATTCTATAGAATTCTATATATTCTATATAAATATTCTATATAATAATAATTTCTATTTTAATAATTTAAAGTTTAATTATATATTATTATTTTAATTTCACTATATTAATTACTATATTAATCTTAGTATTTATTAATTTGGATTTCAATTTAATAGTTACTTTTTAATTTAAATTTAATTTAATTTTAATTTAATAGAATGACTTATAAATAATAAAAAATTCTAATACTAATAAAAAAATATATTATAGTATTAAATTAAAACTAAATACTAAATAAATAAATATCAGTTGTATGTTAGTGTATCAGTATGTATGTAGTATACTATGTATATAGTAGTATAAATTTTTATAGCCTTTTAATGAATTTATAAATTTCATTTTTTTATTTAATTTCAAATGGAATATTTATTATTATTATAATGATAATCACTTGATTTCGGCGGCACAAACAGAAAAATAAATAAATAAATATACAAATAAATAAAAAATATAAATTGTAATAAATTGTAATAGTAATATTTTACTTATTAATTATATAAATTTTATTAATATATTAATTCTATTTAAAATTTATAATTTTAATTATATTATAATAGAAGCTTACTATATTTTATAATTTCATTATATTTTTATTTTTCTATATATTTTCTATCACATATCATGCGAAGAGAACCCTTTCTATACACTAGAATCTTATTTTAAATGGGAGTATATAATTTTTTTTGTTAGGTTATATGTTATAATATATATAAGATTGCCAGATTGAAGAGAGCAATTAATATAAAGGACTAAATTTTGAAATGTATTAAAATGACTTTTGTAATTTCATTAGTCAAAGATTAACTTTGAGGTTTGTTGTGTTTGAAGAAGAAAATTTAATTTATCTAAATTTAATTATTCGCCGGAGCAGGGTGCTAGTAGCTCCACTGGCCCAGTGTTTCCTAGCGAGAATGACAATGCTGTGAAACCAGGTGTTGGTGATGATAGAGTACACGGTAATAACAAAGCAGGATCTGTGGCGTGTGAGGGGATGAAGGAATTACCGAGGCGTGCGGCGGCGGCGGCCGTGGGGAAAGTTTGCGGCTGAGATCCAGGACCCAAGAGAAACGGCGCGAGGGCATGGCTGGGAACTTATGAGAAGGAACAGGATCCTTAACTTTGGCTTATGATAAATCAAATTATTAAGTACTCTTCTGGTCCTAAATATAAGATAATTACACCACAAAAAGGATCTTATATTTAGAACCAGATACACTACAAAAAAAGTTTATATTTAGGACCGGAAGAGTATTTAATTATCTGTTGGTGAGGTATATATAGGTATCGAGTTTGTACATAGACTAATGTCAGACAATCGACATATATTGGGTTGCTTATATTTTTTTAATCTGTTATTCTTTTAATTAAAAGGTAATTTATTTCATAATATGTATGATAATATTAAATAAGGAATGTATTATAATAGATTAAATGATGTCGAGGACAAGATAATTTGAATGATCGAACATGGATATTGCAAGGCCAACAAACACTATTGAGAATAAATAATGGATTAATTATTTTATATACATATAATTAAATTAGCAAACAGCTCTTTTAGAAGTTAGCTTCAGGAAACAGAGATGATCTTATATACGTCCACGTGTAGGTATAGAGAAAACTTCAATTATTCAATATGATTCTTCGACAAAATCAATAAAAATAAATAATAGTAATAAATATAATAAACATGCAGAATTTACATGTGATGTAACTGGGACAAAAAAATTGTTTCATTATTTTTTTATATATATATATATATATAGCAACAGTGTGAGGCTGTCTCGATTTTTAAAATGAGAGCATCTTAATTAATTATATATCTTTAGGGTGACCAAGATAGGAGAAATTAGATTCATCTATATTATTCATATCATGCCCCTTTATTTTATTTTTGTTGGATCTTATGGTGCTAATATATTATATTTTCCACTAATCCAAATTCAAAGAGAATTTTTCATTAATAAAATTTAAATTCTAAACCTTATATAGGGATTAATAAATCTCTCAATGTATTCTCCAAATTAAAAATAAATAAATCTCTTAATATATGTCCATTCATGCTTATATTATATATATACATATATAATCATGATGTAAGCACATGAGAGAATATATATATAGGACTTGATCGTGGCCTAAATGATGTTAATTATAAAAGTGGTCATTATTTAATTGGTTGAATAAATAAACATTTTTATGCTATTTTTGAGCATTGGTTTGAAAAATAATTATTTTGAAATGTAATTATTCATTTGATAGGAATAGCTAAAGTATGGAGTTATCTAATAATTAATATGAGTTTGTCTCTAAGACTTGTTTCTATACACATATCCACACATACATATTCCCACTCTTACCCTATATAATTAAGCAACAAAATTAGAGAAACTTTTGTTATCAAATATAAGTAATATTACAAACTTGTATAAATAAAATATTATGTTTACAAATATACCCCTCACGGTTATCCACTTCTACTATTCATTTTCTCTTTCCTATGTACTCGACTACAATATACTTTATATTTCTGGGCCGTGGGCAAAATTTGAAAAACAAAAACTTTTTTAAAATTCAATACCATTTCTTAATATGTGTCCAGTCTCATCCATTGCTTATATTTGGTAATGGAAGGAGTACATATAATCAGATAACATAGTATCGGTGGTGGCTTTTAGTTTCAAAGATAATGTAGTAAATTAAAAACAGTTTCCAAACTAAAATATATTGTTAATACAATATACAATTCTAGTCCTAGTTATAAGATAGATAAAAAGAATTTTTTTTCAGCCATACCATTAATTTTTTATCATGATTTTCCATTGAAAAATACTTAGGTCAAGTTACTTATATTCATTATGTCAAATTTTTTAATCACACATGATTATGTGTTTTATTTTTTTTTCATGAAGGTTTATAATTAAATTCTATTAAATGCTAATATCTCAAAAATAGAATATATGACTATGTGTGATTAGAGAACTTGACATAATAAATATAAGGAACTTGATATAAGTATTGCCATTCACTACAAAAAAACATTGAATCACTGATAGAATCAATCCCGTCACAGAAATCCATAAGAAAACTATGGGAAATTCCATCAGAAATATTACCGACGGAATTTGCCATGGTATTCCGTTATAAATTACCGACGGAATTTTTCTGTCAGTAATTCATTTTTTTGACGGAATCGTCGGTAAATAATTTTTTGACGGAAGTAGCCATGGATAAATTCCATCAGTAATTTTTGTCACAATTCCGTGGCAAATTCTGTCGGAAAATCCGTTGCTAAATTTACCCATGGAAGTTTGGATAGATTTTCGACCGAAATTACTGACGGAATGTTGTCCGTGGCTAATTCTGTCAGAAAAGTGAATTTCTTTTCTCCAGAATTTTATATCTTTATTCTTATAATAAAATGCAGTGATTCTATTTTTTGTGAGGTGAAAGACTACAACATTATGTAAGAAAAAAACAAATAAAAATTTCGTAAAGGAACATAGTGAAATCCTAGAAGTGTGGGTGAATCATAATAATTCAATCTATACATTTGATTGCCTTGAGTATGAAAAAGTAAAAATTACTTTTTGAGTTATTGGTTGATTGTGAGTGTTTCAAATTAACTGAATATAATATAGAAGAATAAATGTTAGAGACAAAATTGAATTTTAATTTACTAATCTTGAGATAATATCATATGAAGAATATAATAGGTGCAAAGCAAATATTTACATGGAATCATGTATAACAATGTTGCTAACTTATTAGTATTTAGTTTCATAAAACTGTAAAGAAAAACAAAATTCTCCAACCAAATATTTAACATATATTTTGAGAATTTAGACTCAACAATTTTGATTAAAAAATTATAAGTCTTGTTAATCAACAAAATGCTTGATGATTTGATTGTACATGATAGTGATTTATAGCAATCCTTGTTAAAATGTGAGAGATGTATGAATCCTAAGCATCATCTTTTGTAATTTATTCATGATAACATTATTCTTCTTTTTTACTCCACAACTTCATGTAATTAGATATTGTCAATATTATATTATATATAAATATATTTTCTATTTTTAAAAATAGATGGACATTTTTAAACTAAAAAATATCAAATCATTTCAAAGGATACTAAAAAATAATTAAACTGGTATTTGATAGATCATAATTTAAAAAAATAATATTAACAACTGTTTACAAATAGTACAATTAGAAGGTTCTATTATAACATAAAAAACATATATTTAACGAATTAGTAATAAATAAAAATTAGAATTTATGTAAATAAAAATAGTAAATATGAAAATAGCTTATTCTTTTTTCTTGCTTTTTTTTTTTTAAGTTAGTCCACCATATCTAATAGCCAAAGCACATTTTTAATACAAAATAATATTAATCAAATTATACCAAAAAAATATATCAACAATAATATCAAGTTGGCTAGATATAGATTGAGAAAAGGTTGGTGAAATATTATAATATTATTCTAAATATAATATTATTGTTCTTGTGTGAGAAAAATAGTAAGACTTAAATTTAAACGTAGATTTTATAAAATATAATTTTGTCAATTTTTTGTTTGAAGAAACCATAATTCATTTATTAGAAGGCTAAATTTATTCTCCCTCAAAAGATTTTCACCTTCCCTCCATTAACCCATTTAATTTGAGACTTAATTTTTGCAAATTTTTTTAACTATTTTCTTCTCTTTCTTCCAACAATTAACCCTTCTTTTGTAACACTGATAAAACCATATTTTACCTTATAATTTTATTTAAAAAATTAGAAAGAAGGATCTAAAAAAATAATATTCATTGGAAAGGATCTTAATAATTATGATTGTTTACAGGGACCAAATATCAAAATATAAATTTAAAAATACTAAATTATCCCTAATTAAATCCCTACATTTCCTCTTATCATACCTCCATTTAATATATTTTCTATAATCTTTTTAATTTATACTACAATTCTTTATAGTTTGTTGTCATCAATATTGACAAAAAAATTATTCAAATCAAATAAAAATTATTTATTATTAATAAAAGATATTTTATATAACTAAACAAACAATTAAACGTAATTATTCGTGTCGATGAATAATGCTAGCAGTAGTTAACTTTTATTTTTGCCTTCGTGGGGCTTTTAATTGGACTTTCTTCTTTCTTTATTTTTTTAATAAATTATTGCTATGTATATTTTTTATAAATATATTTAAATGTAAAAAACATATTTTAATTTATTTTAATAAATACAATTGAAAAGTTTATAAATATTTTTCTTAAATTGTTATTAATTTCAGTTTCTTAAAATATTAAATGCTTAGATATACAATAGTATTCAGATTTATTTTTATATCTGAATTTTCCATTCTCTTAATTTTAATAACTTCTATTTTATTATTATTTACTTTAAGTGACATATCCAGATAAAAAAAATTCTGAAAAATGATTAGGGAGAAAAAAAACAAAACCATAAAAAATTTTATGAGTATCATTAATCAATTTGATTTTCATATTATTTGGATTTCACCCTATGTCTACCTGAAAAATGATACGTAGCTAATTTTTTTGGTGGAATTTAAAAAGCTGGAAAAAGTTAAAAAAAAAAAAGAAAATGAGTGAAAATCAAAAGTGCAACGTTGTGACTTTTGATGAGCTCGGCTACTTGCTATGGTACCGTAATCACTTCTTCTTCTTCAGTGTGACTGCTAAGGGCGAAGGTAACGACAGCTTCTTTCTCTGGAATCCTAGCCACCAACACGCCATTAATCATCCAGATTGTTCATCATCGTCGTCGGCTAACATTCACATTCCCTTCATCCACACCAAAAGCCGTGACTTCTTCCTCCATCAAGCTTCGACAGCGACGGCGTCTCTCATTATCACCATTGAGCTCGACTTCTTCCTTCAGTACTTCATCATTGCCGTGCTGTCTTCAACAAAGATCTCTGCTCTTCTCCTTGATGTGGAGATTAATTAACCCCCAGGCCAGTTAAGAGAGTTTGAGGCGTAGATCAAATGCGGCTAGGATTGAGGTACG